TTGACCGTGCTCGGAGATGGTCCCTCGACATCATCACCATGTCCTCGATGTTGTGCAACGCTGTTGTTTTTCCTACCCTGTATATGATCAATTTGCTTCCGCAATTCGACCAAGGCCGGTTGTAATTTCAATTCGGTTAATCTTTTCGCCTCCGTGGCTATCTCCGTGACATAGTCCACGACCTGAGCGAGTAAACTCTCCGTTTCTTCCGTGACAATACACTTGGGTTCTTTGTAACCGGGAACGTTGGAGCACACGGAAATGGAAACGGGATGGTGACGTGTCGTCCACGACGTAGACGAAGTTTTTTGGCTCTCATCAGCGCTCTCACGTATCAGGAGAGATTCACCGTCAAACATAGCGTGATATTCATAAAGTCTGTCATCCAGCGGAACGTAAATACCGCATCTTTCCTCGAGTTGTTCAAATATTGTCTGCGGCGGCGAAAAGTAACCACCGGGGAATCTAAGCACGCTTTTCTGACAACAACCGCTCTTTTCGTGATTCCTCGCGTAAGTCCTCCTGCTGAAGCACATATCGCAATGTCGGCACTTGAATCGCTTAGCATAGACCTCGAGATCGACGATGTAGGACAAGTGGTTCTCGTAACAGTCCATATTCAGAGTGGATTTGTCATTGTCGTTGCTTTGTTTATTCGACAGATAGACGGGTACGCAAGAATGACCTTCGTCTTGCATTTTGAAAATGTTGACACGAACGTTAAAAGTCCTCTCGAACAAAGGAACATCATCCGGGACGTTCAATCCTTTAAACGATAGTGGGCTGATTTCCTTTCTTCCCTTAGCACGCATAAATGTTCGAAATAGCTTTAAAATGGTACTTTTCTTGGGTGTTTGTTTTAATCTACACCCTCCCGCTTCACGATACAGTTGATGATATGCTAGACATCTGAAAGCGCATAGTGAATCCACTTCACGATCCCTCGTTATCACAAGGCACTTCTTGATCTTTAACCACGTAGGTAGAGAGAGGGTTTTCTTGCCGAGAACGTAATTAGTACGGTACACCCTGTATGCGACATTGGTGATGAATACGGGCTTCCACTTCGTGTTCGGACGCTGTTGGAAGATGAGTTCGTCTAGGTTTTTCCTGTGAATTCTTTTCACTACACGGTTCAGCGAATCACGCTTATGAATTAAAGGAGGTCTGTCAAAAACAAAAGTGTTCTCGTATGGAATAAAGTATCTGTATTCACCCGTTTCAATGTGACGTAAAATCATCCCAAATGATAAGTTCACTTTAAACGAATTTTCTTCGTGCTGGAAAATGTAATCCAGCTGATTCCGGAAATTGATTGCGTCCGTGTTGGCGGATTCGGTCAATGGGAAATTGAACGTGTGCACAATATTATCTCCGCCATATTTATGCGGACGCAGTATGATATCTCTGTGGGTGATGTATACGTCTTTAAGAGTTTCGTTCACCACCGAAGCTCCGTCGACTTGGTCCGTCCACGGTCTTCTCGCATCTCCTTCTGGCCATGGTTCGGGTTGTAAGAGTTCGCCATTAGCACCGTAATGGCTTCGACGTTGATGACGCCACAATAATTTACGACTTTCAAATCGTTGGTGACATTGACGGCACGTTACCTTCTTAGTCGTTGCTCCGGAAGACGACGTCGTTGATAGATCATTGTTGTTGCGACATTGCGACGAGTGGTCGTGAAACGATCGTTGGCTTTGGAATATCTTGCCACAGGATTCGCACGAATACAAACTCCTTCTACAACATTTCTTGATATGTGCGTTGAATTTGGTGCGAGTCCGGAAGAGTTTATCGCACTTGGGACACGTGTACGTAATACCGGTTCGTTTCCCCGCCGGGAAACATTTCACGTGCGTGTGAACAGTCGTGACCGGCGCCATTGTCACAAACGAGTCCGCAGGACTCGCACAAATAAACGTTGCTGGGAGTACGTTGATTACCGTCCTCTCTATCATCATTAGTTTGTCGGTTACTACACGCGTCAATATGACGAATAAGATGATTGCGCGTGTCAAATCGAGTCCGACACAGTCTACACTCGAAACAACGTCTTTGCGTACAGGCACAATCTACGACATGTTGGTTAAATGCTTGTCCCTTCACCCGCTGATTACAAAGTCTACACCGCCGATGTTTATCTTTTCTGTTCGTATTGTTGCTACCAGACGTCGACATCCTACTTCTCTCTCTGGTCGATGTTTAGTTTTCTTTTCAAATATTTGATCACTTTCAGGAGATCCTCCACGGGGAAGCATATGCCGTTATCTTTTTGGTAGAGCGTGCCCTCTTGTCCCTTAAAGCGACGAACATCCGCGTACCAGTAGTTATCAATCTTGGTGAAAGTACAACGGTAGAACGGTTTCCTGGAGACGAGCAGTTGAGCCGCCTCTCTCACGTCGTGATCTGATTTGTGTCGCTTCACTACCACGCTGTACGTGTGTTTGATGACCCCGGTCTTCTCAAACAGCTGTAAATAAATAAACATAATAATTTTAAAAAAAAAAAATATTTTGCAATCATCATAACACGTGCCCTGATAAAAATGAACAATTGCTGCGAGCGAGCGTTTGTGTTTCATATACCGTTAAATATAAAGCTAAAATATATATATATATACATATGTCATACATCTTAAGTTTTCCCCCTACCCATGCCCCGCGCGTGCACACACACACACACACACACACACACACACACACACACACACACACACACACACACACATTAAATGGAGAGAAAAAAAAAGTTAATATATATAATTGTTACGACCTTACCCTTTCTCGCAACATTTTCCGGGAAGCCCAGGTTTCTCGAGCGTTTGTGACTATAACCGCAAAACTATTGTCTCTCTTAACCTATAATATGATTGTCCATACTGGTAAATAAAATAAAATACTTGGGGCAAACTGTATTCGTATTCGTTTGTTTTAGATACGGCTTTGGATTTGTTTGGCTATCCCAAACCTCTGGGCGACGTTAATGCATTTATCAAACTCTATCGTACCAGGGCTATTGATGACTTTAAAACAAGACTGGTATTCATCTTTATATGAAAAGTTCAAGATATGAATGTTATCGTGAGTTTAAATCTTTACTTGAACCCGAGTCGTATCTATACAACTTACGTAGTAAAAGCTTCGTAATGTTTTCATGCGCCTGAGACTTAACCTAAATGTTTTATACATCAATCAAGGAAGATATTCATCTATTATAAAATCACAAAGGTTCTGTCCATTTTGTAATACTGTAGAGAATGAATTACACTTTCTATTTCTTTGACCAGCATATAATGATTTAAGGCAACTGTATTTTCCACAACGGCTAGAAATCAAATATTAATGCTACAAAACTGTATTCAATACTTTCATGTAAAGCATTCCTATTACAATATAAGGTAGCTCCATTTATTTTATCACACGCTTATATTGAGAAGAGATTCAATGTAACGTGTGTGTGTGTGTGTGTGTGTGTGTGTTACATGTTGTACATATCATACATATTTATTCTGACCTTCATGCAATAAACTGATATATACGCCAAGCACGCTCTCCCCTCACGCACACACACACACATTCGTGCGAAACATAGGAAAATAGTGACATTTCATATACCGTTAAATAAAGCTACAATATAATTAATACATCATAAGTTTTTCCCCTACGCATGCCACACACAACACACACACACACACACACACACACACGCGCGCGCGCATTAAATGTAGAGAAAAGTTACATCTTAAGTTGTACCTACCTTTCTCGCGACATTTTCCGGGAAGCGCAGGTTTCTCGCTGATGCAAATGTATATTTTTGGATGTAGATGATACCTCCGTCGATCTTGATTGAAATCTTTCTGGAGATAGTGTCCTTTAAAGTGACATAGGGCACGTTTGGGTTGCCGAACTCGTCGTAGTCATCGTCGCTGTCATCGCTTAACAGGATAACATCGCTTTCGGTTTCGCTGGTAGCGTCATCGTCGAGGTCTGTTCTTTGTTTTTGAGTAAGATTACTCAGCGCGAAGACATCGTCGTCATCATCATCGTCGTCACAGATCACGATATCAGTATCTTGTGAGGAGCATTCGGTTCGTTCTTCCAGTTCACCGCTGGTCGCTTTTTCGTTTTCTCGAAGAAGAACTCGATACAGAAGAACGCGGTGTCGATCGCAAGAAATCAGCATGAGCTACTTCACCAGAAAGGAATATCGTTGATGCATCGATTGATGCCGTGATCACCGGATCCTTGTTCGGATTGGTCCAATGTCGCATACAGGGTGTACCGTACTAATTACGTTCTCGGCAAGAAAACCCTCTCTCTACCTACGTGGTTAAAGATCAAGAAGTGCCTTGTGATAACGAGGGATCGTGAAGTGGATTCACTATGCGCTTTCAGATGTCTAGCATATCATCAACTGTATCGTGAAGCGGGAGGGTGTAGATTAAAACAAACACCCAAGAAAAGTACCATTTTAAAGCTATTTCGAACATTTATGCGTGCTAAGGGAAGAAAGGAAATCAGCCCACTATCGTTTAAAGGATTGAACGTCCCGGATGATGTTCCTTTGTTCGAGAGGACTTTTAACGTTCGTGTCAACATTTTCAAAATGCAAGACGAAGGTCATTCTTGCGTACCCGTCTATCTGTCGAATAAACAAAGCAACGACAATGACAAATCCACTCTGAATATGGACTGTTACGAGAACCACTTGTCCTATCCGCGGTAGATCCACATCCTCAAAGAATACACCGCCGCTCCCACGATGCAGAGGAGTACGTCTTCCAAATAGGAAATCAGTTCTGGTGAGGGGAAAAAAGTAAGATATTATATGCTCTATTCCAAGTGAGAGTGTTCAATAGAGAAGGCATCATCAGCATAGGCAGGGGGAGTGGGCACGCTCTGGCACCGGGAGCCGATGAGCTCGATGTCCGGCACAAAACGCTGACGTGCACCACGTCGACAACACCGTCTAGATAGACGTCGTAGTCGATGCCTGCACACAACCCCGATGACGAGGGTAAAAATTAGCCATCCTCCGCTCAGCACGCCAACAAGGGGGTACCACATAACTTTCAAATCTGGAAACCGAGTAGAAAGGGAAAAGAAATTAGGGGTCGTTTGATAATATGTTATCTAATTACTTCTTCGTACAAAGTATTTTCTTCATCTCCCTCCGATTCAAAGCAATCATTATTAGATATAAACCCGGTACCACCCCTGTTGACGAGATGTTGCAGTTCGATAGAAGAAGGTAAAACACTTCGCATATGAATGTAATTAGACCTTCTCTGAAATCTACACATGACACCACACATACATATCAAGATCACACAAATCACACCCAAAATAACGAAAATTACAACGAATAAATTCCACACTACCACCGTGTCGTTAACACCCGTTCTCGACGAAGCTCTATCATCGCCGATAGTAAACACAGCACTCGACGCGACGATGTGTGAAACCGTCATAGTAGAAACAGGGTCAGCAGCAGGAGTAGTAGTAGTAGTAGTAGTAGTAGTAGTAGTAGTAGAAGTAGTAGTAGTAGTAGTAGAGAGGTTTATAGCAACAGTACTCGCAGAAGTGATAGAAGGTGCTCGTGTTGATCTATTAACACCTGAAATGGAGAAAGAATCTGAATCCGTGCAATAATGAGTATCTGAAGTATCTCTCTCTCATCCAATCACACACACACACACACACACACACACACACACACACACACACACACACACACACACACACACACACACACACACAGACAGAGAATGAAATGCGAGTTTACTTACTGTCAACTAGAGCGCTATCGCTTGTCGAGTATGTCGTGATGTATCCAAAGGTTGGTAGGTCCGATCCAGCGTCGTCTAACAATAGAGAAACAAAGAACATTAAGAAAAGAAGTTAGAAATACAACAAAATAAGTAAAATACGATCGGTTTCAATACAAAAACTAATGGGATATCTAATAACAATACCTGTGAATGGAGGAGTAGTGGTGGTGGTGCTAGTTGTCGTAGATGTGACGGTTTTGATGACGGTTGTCGCGGTTCCGGACGTCAACGGTGGGCTAGCAAGAATCTGCGAAAAACACGAAATAAATGAATAAATAAATAAGTAAATAATAAAATGAATAAATAAATAATAAAATGAATAAATAATCCTCAAACTCTCTCTCTGCTGCATAGTACTTTTAATCTGTAAAACATTATATATCATAATTATGTTTGCATAACTCACCTCGGGACACGGTTCGGCGTTAATCTGTATCGTGACCCAGGAGGGTCTCGCAATCTCCCCACAGGTCACGGCGCTGTTTTTAAGGTCTATGAATCCCAGGTTAGGATAGCTGTGACCACTGACAGAAAACTCCCGGTCCCACCTCTCGCCTGTTATCCTTAGGACCCGGGGGTACGGTCCTCCCGTTGAGAGGTCTCGGGTGCCAGCGTAGCACCACAGTTCCCCTCCATCCATCAAAGAGCATCTTGGGGGTAACCCCAGGACACTGCTGGTAGTCCACCATAGACTCACCAAACTCAACCAAGACATGTTAAGAAATCCCATTGTGATCTTCTCGTCGCGCTGTCTCTAATCGACTGACCCCAGTTAGTTAAGACAATAGGTAACGTAACCCGATACCCGAAGTCCGGCATGACCATGGGGGGAGTGTGGGGTGGGGGGAGAACAGGTGACCCGATACCGAAGTCCACTCGGATACAGGGCTTGTGGAATTACATAATTTCCACATACTCGAGCCGCGCGGTTCGTCGAGTGGAGAACCTTGCTAGCACACGAGATACCAATCCCCAGTTTCGTGTAATCATTAGTTTTTGGACTAGATGAATATTTACGTGTCTAAGAAAGTATTTAATAAAATACAGACTACAGCGGACTCGATGATCGAAAAAACAAATCAAAACCTTACATATATACGTTGATCATGTCGAACGAAAACTATAAGGAGAAGACACAGCACCAATCGGATAAAATATCATCGACTACCCAAGACGATTCATCCTCAGAAGATGACTGGTTAGATAAACCGTGGTTTGTCACGTTCGATGAATTTATAACGTTACGTCCTTTTGCAATACCGCAGAGTAGATTCATCAACCAGTGCGAAAAAAAACAACTCATAAGTGCAGGAATTGTGGTTTCAAAACGTATAATGAAGTGGACACTGAATATCACCGAGATCAACACGCTCGCTATCTCAATGAAGAAGTTGAATTTGTCGTCATTCATCATACTACACATACGGTATCAAGAGACGATGATCAAGAAATACGTAACACACAAGACGAGAGGTAAGTACACCCATAACGAATGCAATAATATCACGTGGTATATTAGTCACAACGCTATCAGGGATATCACACGGGAATAATTAATACAAATGTATTTATGTATTTGTAATTTATTTATTTTATTTTTTGCAGTGCCGAACAACACCACGAAGGGCAACGAGAAAACACTGCATAAGTCGCAGTTGAACAACGAAGCCGTGTACTATGATCGGTTCGCAAATGGAACAGAATATATACAACATTCCATTCAAAACATCTCTTTTCTTATTGGCGTTCTTCCTTCTGGCGTATACTTCTCGTAGCGATATGGTCCAATGTCCGTTCAGTCTGAGTGGTTGTTTCAGGAACACGGAAAATTTATAAGGTTTATTTTCAGGAAAATACTCGACGCTATCATCGCTCTTAGTCACAATCCATTCCGTTGACATCATTCTCTCACTACGTGTACGTTCTTGATTTGGTCAGCGTCGATCCATGAATTGAATTTCTTTGGATATCCCAACCACTTCACTAAAACACGTTTGGTCCTTTTCTTACTTCCTTTCTTACCGATGTATTTCGTTTTGAGTATTTGTTCAACTCGCCAATTCACTTCGTTGGGATCGTGAGGATATTTCTGCAACTCGTTTTGATAAAAGGATCCTTTAATGGGATCGGATTGAAGGTCTTCTATCCAATATACGTGTATATTGTCTCTGAGTTGTCGCTGACGTATCCTAAATACTTCTTCCGACCATTTCTGTTCGTATTCCTTCTCGAACGTTCTCTTGACCAATGATGCTCTGACGTGGTCTCCTACTTTAAATGCAAAGTTGCTGTTTCGTAGAGGTTTGATATTCGCTTTGTCCGCGTATATATCCAACCATATGCTAGCTTCGTTTGATGGTTTCACTTCCACGGGTGCTCTTCCTCTCAGGCTCCTGTGCGGGCGATGGTTGTAATTATAAACAAGGTCTTGTAATACGTTGATGTACCTATGGGTATGCTTGTACGTGAGGAATCTATACATCATAGATCTCAAAGTACGAATGAATCGTTCGGCGTAGTTCGCTTTAATGTCTGAGTTTTGCGTAACAAAATGTTTGACGTTAAATAGAGTGTAAATCCGTCGCACTGTTTGATTATTAAATTCCTTTCCTTTGTCCGTTCTTAGTGTGTATGGCGGTTTCTCCATAGATGACAATAGTTCCCTCATCGCTTTGGCAGTCGTGTTTGATTCTTTATTTTCCATAGGTCGAACCCAGACATACCTCGAAAAGCAGTCGATTACGATGAGAATATACTTAATTCCATCGTTGTCTTGCGCTAACCTAGAAACGTCGCATAAGTCTCCGTCTGCTTGTACGTACATTCCTCCCACGATGACTTTATTTCTTGAAAATCGTTTCTTTGGTAAACGATGTAGGTTGTAGGCGTCTTGCGTTCTCATCCATCTTCGTACGCTATGAGAAGAGACATTAGGGTTACGATGCTTCAGAGCGGCATAAAATTTTTGTTCACCCGCGAAAGCGCCTGGTTTCCTGGGATCGTAGTATTCCTGATGATAATCAACCTGCATGATTATACTTTCCCACACCAACGTTTAACCGTCCTTTTGATATGGTTCATCCACTGGTCGGTTTTGACACTGGTATCTCGGTAGTCTCTACATTGATATTTCAGAAAATATAGTGGAGAGATGACGCGTAGATACGGATCACAATCCACGTACTGACGCCACTTCAGAATAACCGCGTCTTCGTCAATCGCTTTCATAGACGTATGAAAAAAATGTATCGAAATCGTGCTCTGTGTTCCTCTCATACTTTTTTATGAATTTCCATACCACCAAGGTATAGGCGCACGATAGATAGTATTCCAAATATGTCGTTACTCTCTCAGAGTCTATTTCGTCCACTTCTATTGGTAAGTTCATTTCCTGTCCGCTATGATGTAAGGACTACGGTGGTTGTACGCTGTCCGAGAATATATATATATACACGGGCTTCCCCATGAGTCTGGAATGTCCACGGGTCGATATCGCAGCTTCTCTTCCAGATGGCGCACACACTCTCCTTTTGAATAATACCAACGTTGACTACATCCCAACACGACTTCGTCGTCGAAATGCGCTCTATACCGTTGTGGTGGCTTGGCGACAATAACCCACTGATATTGTTTCGTATCCATCGCGAAATATACAATGAGTTCGGTGTTTGTATGTCTGTAAGTTTTATGGTTCTCGCGTGTACGTATATTGTTTACTTTCGACTCGACGTCTGTGTACTTTTCTCGCTAGCTTCCCGGGGCTGGTGTTTACCCTACGCGGCGAGGTGTTTAATTAGTGGGCGACGGTCGCTCGCCGTGGCAGAGCTCGCTAATTGGGGTACCTCTTTTTATCGAAAAATTTAACATAGGAATCCCCATTCAAAATTACTGGATAGCAGCTAATACATAACTACTTACCCATCAAAAGTTTAGACTCACTTAAAGCACTCACTATATGTTATGTATATATACATGGTTACATCGAAGATGAATTTCTGCACTATCTTGGAGGAACCAACTGCAAACCTTATGCAGATGAATTGCTGAAAAGCATGTGCATGTGAACTGTTGCGTTTTGATGTAAGTTTTGTTAAGAATTCGCAAATATTCACTGACTTTCATCATTTATTTAACTCATGACAATGATCTTTTTTCAACGTTACAATTTGGTTTTACAATACATCAGTTCATGTGTAAACAGTACCTTTAAACAGTATTGAATATTTTGCAAAACCTAGCTAAGAACAGTTGCCTGAAGTGGCTACATTTACACTAGTGAGTCTAAACTTTTGGTGGGTAGTATATGTAGGTCTGTCCGTCCGCCTATGTTTGTGCGTGCAATGTAAGCTCATTGCACATGGTTGGATTAATATATCAGGATAACAACATACAGGGAGGCCAATCGGGTCAGCGAGAGAGAAGTCAATGTACCCACTATATACCAAGAATAGAGCGGCCTCGCAGCCAGCAGTTTGCTTATATCTTTGCTTATATCAATCAATATCCGAATATGAGTTTCAAGATTACTGCATCTGTGTGATCAGTTGTGGTATATCGATGGGATTTGTGATAGCTGTCTGCAAACGATTTCATAAACAAACTTGGCGAACTGTCGGTTGGTACATATTCGACTTCAGCTGTGCAACCGAACTGGCTGGCACTCGTCATCACTCGTGTCTTCCCATAACACGTGTCTTCCCGTAACTCGTGTCTTCCCGTAACTCGTGTCTCCCCGTAACCAACGCCATCGTAACTTTTGCGAATGAGTATATCGCCAGCGAAACAAACGTTTCTACAATATAGCATCTTGTCTCTTGTATGAATATTTCACAATGCCACTTGGTACTATTTAATTACTTGCATTATTGTCACTGGGTATTTAATTACGTTTATGCACTTTTAATCGATACGTCACACAGTCTCAGTGAGACGACGTCTATAATGATCAATGTCTACCAGTGATTGATCGCCTCTGGGGAGTTATTATATCATTTATCATTACGTATTCGATCCTCCCTTTTTCTTTTCTATCACATGTAAAGATGCAATCTTCCATGATTTGAATATTTCACATGATATGGGAATAATTCACATGTACTTCCTAGCTATCAGCGGAGAGGTGATTACGAAGCTGGAAAATCTCACTCTCTTACTCATTCACTCACTTGCACTTGCACACGCACACGCACTACCAGGTACCTGTACATACATATACTCTCCCAAAAAGAAACGCATC